AGGCAATGCTACTGCTGCTCAAGGACTGTGCTTCTTGCGGTTGAAGCTGTAGCACGCGCGTAACGAAACCGTCTAGTGTAGTTTGGCCACCACTTCCCCGCCCCCCGGGGACCCTTTTCCCCCGACCCTTTTTCGCTCTCCTAGGGCGTTCTGCTGGCGGCGCTGGGGCCGCTGGCGGCGACGGTGGAGATGGCACGGCGCCTGCCGGCGGCGGCGGCGGAAGCGACGTCCTCGAGGGCTTGGCCTCGGAGGAGGTCGTGACGGCGGTGGCAGCTGTAGCAGTAGATAAGGAAGGTGACGGACATAGAACATAATGACTGCTGCTGCTGCTACTGGTCGGTAACGGTGGCGGCGGCTCGGCCGGCTCCGCCGGTCGTGCATCTGCAGGCAGCAACAGCAGCTGCTGCTGCTGCGATGGCCTTCGCCGACGTTGACGCCGGGGCCGCGCGGCCAGTGGTGGCGGCGGCGGCGGCGACGATGCTAATGGCGGTTGTGGTGACTGCGATGCAGCTACCCGGCGTTCCGCCCCCTCGGCCGCGGTCCCGCTGGAGGCCGCCTGCGGGTTATCTACGCCGTCGGCTTCCACCTCATTGCTGTACAGGGCCAGGTAGGAAGCCGCCGTGCCGCCGGGAGGAGGCTGATCGCCGCCGCTGCCACCGTTGCCGTCATTGTCCCCGCCGCTGCCGCCATTGCCGCTGCTACTGCAAGTGAGAACACCAGCTGGGCATGTCACATATGGCGGCGGCGGCGGCACTGCCCCCGTCACTCTCCGTACTGCTGCCGCAGTGAGGGATGTGGCGGCTGCAGCTCCTGGAGGGGGCCCCTCCGCCCGCAGGCCTCCTCCCTTCCCCTCCACACACCCCTCCCCCGAAGTCCCTATACAGGTTAGCTGGCCAGGGCCGCGATCAGTCTTGGAGGGTGCTATGCTGTGCGTTAGAGCACGAGGCTCGTTAGGTTGCTGCTGCTGCCGACGGCGGCGACGGCGGTGGTGGAGGGGTTGCTGGTGTTGCGGACTGGTGGCGGGGAGGGAAGATCCCCTGGTGCCGGAGCCTGGAGAAAGGTCCAATGGTGACGGCGACGTCGGAGGCAGAAGTAGCGGAGCTGCAGACGAATCTTTAACGGACGGATGGGTGTCGGTGGCCGACAGCGGCACCGGCGGCCTGGCGGTATTATCGCGGTCCACGGCGTCGGCGAGCTCTTCACTTCCTCCTCCAGAGGCTGTTCCCTTGTCACTACTGCTGGTGATGGTGATGGTCGTACGATCCCCCACGTCGGGTTGAACAGCACCGAAGACGTCACCTCCGCCGTCGTGGCTGCCTGCGATGACGGCTGCATCACTCTGCAGAGCAGGATTGACGGTGTTGGATTCATGGGCCTTGTGATTGCGACGGCGGTGTCGGGCTGGCGGCGGCGGCGGCGGCGGCGGTACGGCAGCGGCACCGCAGGCGTGGGCGCTGCCGTGCTGCGCACCTCGTTCCGCTACCATCATGACAACAACGTCAGTGCTGTCGGCATGGCTTGAGTGATGACCACCGCCGCTACCGCCACGGCCGGGCCGTGATGCTGCTGGTGCTGTTGCTTCCTCAGCCGCTGCGGCGACATTGCTGGTAGCAGTGTCCTCCTCCTCCTCCTCTGCGGCGTCTGTGACGTCTAAGATAACTCGCCCGCCGCCGCCGCCGTCGCCTTCACCAGCACCTCTGACAGCCCCCCGGACCAGACCCGATGGGGAGACAGGGGCTCCCAGGCCGCTGCTGCAACCGCCGCTGGCCCTTTCCACCAGATTTTGTTCACCTCCTTCGTCACTATCACAGAGGTCAATCACATCGACGGGTATCACCACCGGACATGAAAGCTGCTTCCGGTGCGTCCGGGGTCGCCGTTGTGGCATTGGCTGTTGTATTGGTGATGACGGCAGTGGCTCAAGGACCTTTCGCCGCCGCCGCCGCTGCTGCTGCTGCTGCTGCTTTCGCTGTCGTTGCTGCTGCTGCAGCCCGGTGCTGCACCCTCGGTCGGCTTTGGATGACACTTCGCCAGTAACAGGAGAGCTGGAGTACGACGGCGGCGGCGACACCGACAACGGCGGCTGAAATAGCTGCCCCTTGGGAGAGCACGGTTCCTGTCGTATACTTATAAGGGGGGAGTGCCCACCTGCAGATTCGGACCGTGCACTACGCCAGCCCTGCGAGGGGGTGGTGTTTGCGGTGGTGATGGCAGAGGCGGGAGAAGCAGGGGAAGCGGTACTATGGACCGCCGTGGGCCCGACGGCAGCGCCATGGCCCGAGCTGGCGAGCATATTACGGTCGGCGGCGGCGCTGTCAGCGTCTGGAACTGGCCCGCTGTGGAGTCGGCAGCCGGTGGCGGCGGCAGCTGCCATCTCCGTGCCGTCCATTACAGTGACGTCGGTGGAGATTCGGTGGCGACTGTTGTGTACATCAGCTGAGGCCGCCGCTGCCTCCGCTATCATGCCGTCACCGCCACCGCCGCTGCCTGAGTCTCGGTACAGCCTGCTGCCATCGCCACCATCACCGTCACCGTCACCACAACCGCTGCTAAGCACTACGCTATTCACTGCACAATCGGCCGCCATCAGCATGCAGCTCTGGGCGCGGCAGGCTACAAAGCCTCTGGCGCCATCAGCCCTGCTGCTGCTGCTGCTCACAGCGGCAGTAGCAGAGGACAAACCTAGGGGGGTGGCGGCAGCAGCAGCAGCAGCAGCGGGCTTCCATGTCATCGGTGCAAGTCCCCAGGCAGCTGCCACCAGACGCTGCAACACCGAGGTGTGGGAGGTCCGCGGAAGATGTGCTGCTGGAGGGTGAGAGGGCACCTTGCTGACGGCCGCCGTCGCCGTCGCTGTTGCTACTGCTACTACTGGTGTTACCAATCCCGACACAGACGCTGGATCGCCAGATGCCGCTGTCGGCACCGGGATCGCGGTTTCAGCAGCAGCCACTTCAACAGCCGCTTCGAATGCCGCTGTAGTTGCCATTCTTTCAGTCGTCGTCATCATTGCCGTCCTATGCGGTAGGCGAGGAGGAGAAAGAGGAGGAGGAGGGGGAGGAGGAGGAAGAGGTGATGCACGGGAGGCGGAAGGGGCCTTTGTCGGTGTGGGGCTGCTGTTGCACATGGACGTGGTGGCGGCAGCGGAGAAGGCGGCGGCGGCGGGATAGCTCTGACACTGCCGGGAGTTCTGGTCCGGGGTGGCTTCCGGCCCCGGGTCTGGCCCCCGGGTTTCCTTCTCATCCAGCGACAAGCTCGTCGAGGGGTTGGTTGATGATGTTTGTAGCGGAGAACCCTTGCTGGTCTCGTGTACTGGTGGCGGTGGTGGTGCTGCTGCAGTGGTGGTGGTAGTAATCGGTTTGGCAGCTGTACTGGCGATGGCAGCGGCAGCGGCAGTAGCAGCCGTGACTGCAGTAGTACTAGGTGAACCATCCTGACCTGGGGTCCCTGCAACATGGCATCCACCACTGCTGCTGCAGCCGGCGGCAGTGGTGGCAGCAGCAGCAGCAGCAGGTGCTACTGCTGCCACAACAGCCTCCCACGGCAGCAGTCCCGGCCTGTGTAACCTCGTGGCTGCTTCTGGTACCTCCAACGCTCCGCCATCACATCCATCGCCATCGCCATCACCGCAGCCACCATTGCAGCCACCACCACCACCACAGTCACTGGTGGACATGAGGCCGTTCAAGGCTGTCGCCGCCGTCTCCATCACCACTGCAGTTGGATGGCTCGGCCACTTCATCTGCCGCCGCCGTCGCCGCCTGGAACGATTTGGCCGCTGAGCTGGATCTGGATTCTGGTCTCGGAGCTGCTGCTCTCCGGTCCCCACAGCACTGTCTACGACCGTATCACCTGCTTCGGCTTCCATTGCCGCCGTCAACGCAGTGTGTTGCGGTTGCGGCTTTGCCCGTGGCAGTGGCACCGCAGTCACGTTGATCACCGTGCAGCTGTCCGGTGTTGGCGGTGGCACAGACGTAGTAGCAGCAGCAGCAGCAGCAGCAGCAGCAGCAGCAGCAGCAGTCAATGTGGGTGGCAGTCTTGTAGCTGCTGTAGGTGCTTCGGGAGGCAGCTTCTGGGGCTTCACCGCCACCGCCATCTCCACTGCCACCACCACCGATGTTGTTGCTTTTGTTGTCACCGGGTTGTCACCGGTAGCACCAGACGGTACGGCACCTGATGAGTCACCTTCAGCTGCCGCTATGTATGCCATCGCAGTTGCTGCTACTGCTGCAGGGGCGTTTGCTGTGGTTGCAATTTGCATGGCTATGGCTGCTGCATCATCATGTGACGTCATTTGGTCAGTGTGATCCTGCGGCATTCATTAAGAGAGCGGTAACCAAGGCGGGTGGCAGTATGAATGACACCAAGGGCCAGACTCTATCGCCGAGCCAGGCCAATATATTACGGAACTGAGTGACATCTTTTCGAATTATGCATCCATCAATTCCTCACCGATGAAGCGGCAGGCTGCAGGCAATTAGTGTCAGATGCTGCTGCCGCTGGCAGGAGCTCCTCCGGGACTGAATAGGTCCCCGCCTTGTAGGCCTTCCACAGCTGTGACAGACCAGATGGAGACAGACCTCGCTTCTTGTGGATGGTCTGGAATCTATTCCAGGTGAGCCGCGAAATGCCGGCCTCAGCATTCGCAGCACCTGAGTCCAGACTGCTACTCGTTTGCCGAGCCATAAATCCAATAACTGTGTCACTTATTTAATTCGGTCATGAACGGCTTTTTAAGACCCTTGCGTGTCCCTTCCTTGCTGCCGCAGCACAGCGCACCGCAGCGCCATCTGTCGACAAGACCTAAAAGCCAGCGTTTACCATAGTTAAAGTCATAGGTTCACGAGGAAGTAAAAAACTTTCGTTACTAATCACGGGAAAGGCCATGCGTCTTAGCTCGTCCATTCATTCACCGTATTATTCGTAGTGATTGACCAGTTGTATTTGACCAACCGCTATTAGCAGAACGATCTCAGCGCTGCTATGTAGGATATTGTCCGTGCATTGCCGATATTTGAATTGCATCTGGGAAAACCTGGCACTGTTGTATCACGGATACAGGAAATCCGCCCATCGGTGCATTTTTGTAGCCATGGTACAACAATTGGTAACGAGACTGGTAACCCTGTCCCAACCCGGGTTCGAATTAGGATAGGGGATGCCAAATCCAACAAAGGTTGTCCCCATTGGGTTCCCTAGGGCTCACTTTGGTTTCTATCCCCTTTAGGAGAACAAAGAGGACACAAAGTCCCTAAAGGGAATGATGACAACTCTTTGGTTTTCATCAAGTTTTGGTGCCCCCTTGATTCCCCCAAAGGAGGATGATAACACAAGGTACTCTTCGGGCCCCCTTTGGTTCATCCCCAAATGGTAACCCAAAGGGAATGACAACCCTTTAAAGGGTAAATTTGGGGTAACCCAAAAGGTGGTGCGGTTCAGAGCGGGAGGTGACGGACCCTGCGACCGCCGCTGAGATCGGCTAACTCGAGGACACCCTCCGCTGGGGAGAGATCGTGTTTAATCCTGGAGGGCGTGTATCACAGCATTCTGGAATCCGCCGATCGGTGCAATTTCTGTAGCCGTGATACAACAAGAACACAACCGGATGGTGGCATCGGAAGGCACCGATTGGAAGAGTTTTGTCCGCATAAATAGCGGGGATGCAGCCATCTCGTGAGTCGTACAGCCAGTCCCCGAATGGCGTACCGTTGACCCATACATGCGTCCTATTGATAATGGGTTGGGCTCCGCGAGCCAGCGACCAGCCAGGACAAGTCTTAGCCTGTGCTACGACCCCCACCTACACTTCTGCAAGTCTGGTCTTCCGCCTGAGGCGGCGTTTACATGGTAGGCATCCATGACAGCGTCACGCTGGCTATCGGACCCAGAGGTCGGAGTTACAGATCTGACAGAGAGGCGGCAAAATAAGCACTTGGAATTCACTTGGTTCCAGAGAGCTCATCCATCAGCCGCGCCAAGCGGAAACGGAAAGATCTAATAAGATCAGACAGGAAGTGTATCTGTTTGGAATAGATGTAAGAAATGGTATATAACAACTATCCCCGCTTAAGATGCACCGTCCTCGATTGCATGGTAAGAAACAGAGGTCGGCAAACGCCACGGGTACCACGGGTCCTTCCGTTGTACCCGTTGCAGAAATTCTTCATCACGGGTACGGCAGCCGTACGGCAGGGTGCAGAAATTCCCCCCAAAAGGCAGGTTTGCGCAGTTTTGAAGCTATAAACTTCATCATTAGGTTACCATACCTTCCATAATTGGGCGCAACAAGACAACTGTGGCTTTAACAGCGATGGTGTAACGTAGTAAGTTTGGTACATCGGCCCGCAGACACTCTTCCCTCGGCTTTTAGCAAAAACATTTCCATACAGTTATTCGACCCTGGCACCAGTACCCGTGACAGTTATTCAGGGTTTGCCGACCTCTGGTAAGAAAGTAACAGAGCGAAATCAGGCCAACAAAAAGGTGCGGGAGTTAGTGTTATGAGCATTCCGTTAAATACGGTAATGACTAACATATTCTTATTACTATTACTTGTAACGCATAGGCGGAACAACTCCTGCCGTACTATCGTACGTCATACTCCAACAAGAGTATATCCTTACTTTGTAACATTACATTACATTACATTACATTACATTACTTTGGTTAGTTCCGTCTAGGCGGACATTTGATTGTCAAGAACCAACTAGCCACTTTAATCGTATAATCGTTTCCGCTTCCCTTTTAATCGTATCTCGTCTTTACTCTCCTCATAACAGTTAGACACCAGGGTGGGAGTTACTTAACCCGCACCTCTTACCTTTCCTGTGCTCGTTGCCGTGGTTTTTTTCCAGCAGAGGTTTCAGACCCGGGGTAAAGTTAAATCCTGGTTCCCAATTAATCTGCTCAGCCGAGCACCCAGCCCATTTGACAAGATACTCGTGCACAGTGTGCTTTGCGGCAGCGGTTTCCAACTAATTCTTGGGAACGGTAATACAGTATCCGTTCAACTGCGTTAAAAAATCTGCTTGCGTGAAAGCCAAGTAAGCTTATTTTCAAATTTATATTTTTTCACGATCTACTTTATCTTCAGCAAATTTCATTTATTTATAGCATGAATAATTTCTGATACTTCTCTTTCCGGATTGGGTCCTTGCTCCGTGACGGTAGGAGCAGGTTTTGGCGGAAGCGCACCAGCAGCGTCGGTAGTATGGAAAGGTTGGACTAGAGAAACATGGAATGTGAGGTGGATGTGCATGCTTCAGGTGGGAATTGGGGCCCTTCGGCTCGTATGGGTCGTTTTACAGGTATGGGGTCACGCACCCCCAATCATGTAACACACACACACACACATAGGGTTGGAAGTAATCTAAATCTAAACTTCTAAACTTATATGAGAAACTTTAGAAACTAAACTGAGATATTAGATGGCATTTTTTGGCGCCTTAGTTGTACGGCAGCTCCGAAACCTTAGGAGAGACCTTAGGTAGTCCTGAGAAACTTTAGACGAAGCTGTCTGAGGACTCATCGAATAGTTACTGAGTTTCATTCAATGGCTACATACAATGGCTGACGTCGGTGAAGCCTCTGGCAAGCCGCCGAAGGGCAAGCGCGAGTCCAGCAAGGATACTTACACCTACAATGGCAAGGAGTACTCGGCCAGGGAATTTTACGAGAAGCTGAAAGACAGTAAGCGAAATAGCCGTGCTTTCTGGTGGGCTTTCTTCAACGTTGTGCTGGTAAACAACGCAGTGAAGCATCTACATTCGCCATAACGACAACTCCAACAAGGGCAAGGGCAGCCGCCTGTCGGACGAGGAGGTGGTGATGACTCTGCTGGCTGCAGAGGATGAGAAGAGCGCGCGTGTGTAATGGGCGGCGGGGTACACCGACTGGCACGTTGTAACGCCGCTAAGGCGGCCCTCGGCTCACCGGGCCAACGGTATGGTACCAACGGTACATCCAAGAACTATTCATAATCTTTCCAATACCAAACGGTATTTATCAATACCACCTTTTATCGTTGGATATTTTCCTTTCGTAACTGCTTTGCCAACTGCAAGCTTTGTTACACACGTGGTGCGCTGTGAGGAGAGTCTTGCATCAGTGCAACTAACGAGTCACACACAGGCATGTTCAAACCTAAGCAAGACGACAATTCCTATGCATCCTCGTAATAGAAGAAATCTCCCGACGCGAACTTACTCGCGCGGAGTTCACAGGAAGGCACCATATGTTGCTTGCTCTTGCAAAGGAGACACTTCTTCTGCGTTTTCAACTGTCGAGACGACTCTGCGGTTAAGCCCTTGATGTAGAGCTTGCGACCGGGCTCGTAATCCGCAAGACCCCAATTTCTTCTCCTGCAATTTCTCGTCTTCCTGACAACGTGCCT